ATACTAGAGGCTAATATCAGATAGGAACATCAGCCAGCCACAAATCCAACTACTAGGTAATGCAGTGTTCTATAAATATGTACTCATTTGTGCAACACAAAACAACATCTATAGTTATTCAGATTCAAACAACTCCTCACCTTGTACAGCGCACCAAAGTATACACAATGATCACACACTTGCAAAGAAGTAAATTTACATACAAAACTAATATTTCTCGTAAGTTTATTCACATTTATGCAATTATTTTTTTTTTTTAATAAGTTTTTCTTTTACATCCAGGCTTTAGTGTTATTTATATACAATAACATAACTCTGGCTAAAAATTTGAATATTTCAAAATATATGCAGGGTAAAGTCCCTCTCTAGAGGTAAATACCGATGCATTTTCATTCGATACATTATAAAATATCTGGCAAATTTCAACTACCACTGGAATATATAATATATACAAAGATTCAAATTTTGTACACTTTTTTTTAACTAGTCTACACCCACAAAGAAGCAGACAATGCATAATTACAAACTTAGTTGTGAGATCATCAGCTGTAACCCCCTTTTCTGAAAATGGTTGAATCCACTGGATTAGTCTACTTTCTTACGGGGGGGGGGGGGGGCACTGTAGACAAAATGAAAGCAAGCTATAGTAGTCACTCACAACAATTCTTCTAGCACCTTGACACTGAAGAAAATATCAATCCTATACAAGAATTCATAAAAACTTAAGAAACATTTAAAACATGGAATTTTATTCCAGACTATTAAAACTTAGACTTAATTTTTTTGTTATTATTAAAATCAATGTACAGTTTTGTTTCCCACTTTCAATTCGAATTGAACATGTCACAAACGGTTGATTCAATTGAACAGGGAAGTGCAGGGAGGGCAGGTTCAATTGAGGGACAACTTTTAGAGTGCACTGAATGTATATCACAATACTGTAAAATCTTAAATAACTGGATAAAATGTTAAGTACACAAGGCATTGGTAAATACAAAGCCGTCATAGCTGCTTAGCCTAATGACAGGAAATTTTTTTTTTAATAATTTTGTTTGATATTTGAAAAAGACGTCTTGATTTATCGCGCCATTGATAGAAAGTTCATTCAATTATGTCATGATCAAATACATGTCAAGTCACATGACATTAATAGGTAATCTACATATTGAAAAGTTATTAGAACATAAAGAAATGAAAATGTCATTTGATATTAAAATAAACCTCATAGTGAAATGGTTGTGCACTGTCTGCTAATTGCACAATAATGTCAGTTACGTTCGCAATGAAATAAAAAATTCTAAACATATCACACATTTATTATATTGATCATATTTTAGAAATATCTTTGAAATCTTTCAATATAAATAACAGTTGATGCAAGCTCATCTGACAATTTCTACAAATCACGAAAATATACAATACATGAAATGTATAAAGTAACATGCAAGCAGTTGATACCAAAAAAACTGGTAGAGACATTAAAGTTATATGGACTTAAAACAATATCAAAAGGTGGGCCACCATTAAAGGTAGACTTGAGAACAGCAATTTTATTATACTATCGTAATTATTTTAATATTGAACAAGTGCTTAGTAAAATAGTTGCCCAATACAATTGAATATCAACTCAAGACGGTATACCTTTAACACTTAAATCACACCTGAAAATTATTTGTACATGGGCCTTAGAGGCAGGCTTCAAAGTCGTCTTCTCTTTAGCAGTACTGTTCAATAACATTCCCAGAGAATTACTGGAAAAACAACATATTTTATAATATAAACTGATAATATATCAGACATAATAGACCACAGACAGTGCTGCATCAGTAGGAGACATTTATATCATCGGCAATCTGCACAGATCTGAATGAGATGCTCACAACAACGTCAATTATGATGATGAATGCATCCATCAATATATCCATTGGGGTTCTGTATAATACACACAAGTATTATCCCACGATGGTTAGACTATGCAGTGTCAAATTCACATGTGTTATCAGTGTTTTCGTCAATATCTAACAGTCTATATATCTCTCTATATCTTCACATGTTACGTTTCATAAGCAATAAAAAAAACATTTTTAGCAGCCTCCAAAGAGAATAATATTTCAAAACTACGAATGTTCTGTTCTGCTGGTGCGTAATACAAAAAAGTCATTCCAAGTAAGAAGGGTTTCGTCAGGATCCATTAATGCCACCAATTGTTGTTAATAGGCAAAGCTATATAGGTTAGGCAGTAAAACTCAGAAAAATCCGTCCAATGCAAGCGGAGGTCTTTTACGCTGTCTTTTTCCACAACCTTTCTCTAGTAAATATGTCACGTCAACAGCTGAAAGATATTAATAGAGTGTTATTCCCAACATAGCTCGTTATGTATATGTACATTCATTAACAGATCATTGGTCTTCATCATACAGTTATTCGGTGGCCATACGGAGCATCGACAGATAGTCAAACAAAAATCAGCATGACAACGTCAGCTTTTACAAGTACTATATGGATTATAAATATTTAGCAATTTAGAATCAAATTCAAACAAAATGTTATGATTTGCTGTTGGAATGGTTCCATTTCTGTTACATCCTCTAATGCGTGAAACTTACTGCTGATTGGAAAACACTTGGATCATTTCAAAACTACATTCAACTGCACCGGTGACACAAAATTACAATTGCTGTGATTGGGCAGATGTTTTTCAACGGCTATTTTGAGTTTCTAAATGTTTTTTAAAAATGTATAAAATTATTCATATACTGCATCCATTGTTAACCTGAAATGCATGCATATCACTTAAGAAACAAATATCTATAATTGTGAAGGGAGTTCTCAAAAACACTATTTCATGTCACCTCAGACAACTCCTCACCAGTCTTATTTAACAGAAAAATATAACTCAAGCGAGAGGGTCGTCACCTGCGCACACGCTGGAATTGAGTCCCAAGCGACAATAACAACATACACTAAAAACGCAAAGGCTCATGGGTAGACGCTTGTTTGTAAACAATGACATGCTATGGCCATCTGACGCATGCGCAGGTGACGACTCCCCTGCTTTAAATTTGTTAATCGGTAATAATATCAGAATGCATGATTTACGATAAAAGAAAGTTGATAAGATTTTTGTCTCGTTCAAATGTTTAATGAATCATTCAAAAACATCAACATTCCTTGTAATGTTAAATGTTGTTAAAATAAATTACCTGCTTTTCCTTGTTTTCCAGGCAGTTTGGACAATAACCTTAGTAAGATACTATTTAATCTTTCTTTCTTTCCGGCCTTTCTTTCTTCTTCCATTTCTTGGTGTCTTTCTTCTGGTGATTTCTCATCCTCTTCCATATGGTCGACTTCTTCTTCTCTGTGGATGGAGGATGATTTCAATGACAGAGCAAAATGTAAATACTGGGTATGAAATGAACCTTGCATTGTCTTTTTTCATTTATATCAGAGTATGTGCTTGCAAATAGCGCTAAAGAAGTTCGTAATATATTTTTTGACGTTTTATGAAGAGTGCCCCCTATAGTCCATTCAGAGACAGCCTCAGTGAGATTAACATAATCCTAGATAAATGATTTTCCTTACCTCGTTTCATCTTTTGTCAGATCATTATTTTCATCCTTATTTCCGCTTCTCTCTGATTTCCAAGTGGGTCTAGGAAGTAAAAATAAAGATTTAGCCTGAAGGAATGGACAACTCAAGTACTGAAATTGGAAGCTATGGTAAATGTCAAACGTCTCTTTCACAAGGATATTTGCATACTACAAAATGGCATTATATATATTTAAGCACTGTGCACGGCTATTATAAGCTCTGAAATTATTATTTCAAATATCAACAGATTTATGTAGGCGCCTTTCAAATTATTGCAGTATAAGTCAGCTGTTTGTAGAGATTATTTTTTGTCCACGATAATTGTCGTAAACTTGTGACATAAAACAATAAAACTTGGTAATTTTTAATTTTTTTTCTGTTTGGATATTTAGTTCCCTTCAAGTCAAATGCTCAAAGCGAGGTATTTATAGCAGAAATAATTGAATTAAGGAACATTTTACATGGAAATTGGAGAGCCACATCATCTTCTCGATTTCACTGTTACTTACATAACGTAAGCTAATACTGTGGAATACATTATTTTCGCTGGAATTAATTTTCGCTGAAAAGGCTTTTTGGGCGTTTTGTGTGGAATTAATTTTCACTGATTTTTGATGAATTTAATGTGAAATATAGGAAAAAAGTATATTCGCTGGATTTTATTTTCACGGAAACATCCTTTCAGCGAAAATAAATTCCAAGTGAAAATAAAGTATTCTACAGTAGATGTAAAATTGACAATGTTGTGGATCTAAAATGGCAAAACAACAAATACATGCTAATATCAATACTCACCTTCCACCGTATCCTCTCCTGAAATGTTCAGGTACGTAATGCGGCTGTGGAAGTAATGTACATGGTGGTGTTAGTTTTAACATCATGCCTAATTACCATAAATTAGGATACAATTTGTAAGCGTAGTTTATGATTTTTCTGTTGTTTTGACACAGAGTTGCGCATGTGTTTATCAGCTGATATCACTTACTCCTAATGCTAATTAATACTCATGGCGTTATTGGCTGTATTATTTACACGCCTAGCTTATGACGTCACTCGTACCACCCAGTTCTAAAAACGCATGATATCAGGAGATAATCTCATTATATTGCTTTGTATCTACAATGTAATTATTATTCTAAGCAATCTGATTTATATATTCTACATAATTTTTTTATATTTGGCCTGTCATTCATCATATTACATAAAACTGGCTATAATGCATATAACATGTAAAATGATATTTTAATAACAATTCTGTAAGAGACGTAAAACATGATAATATGTAACTTACTGAGTAGGTCTTCTTAGGCCAGATTTTCTTGTCAAACTTGTCATAGGCATACGATTTAGTACAAACTGCATATCTTGTTTTACCAATAGGATAAAATAAATGAGCCGTCTTATCAAGACGATATTCACAGATATAAACGTCTTCTTCTTTAAAACCTTTAGGTCTCCCTGAAATTGCATTGATCATAGGAAATATTAGCACACCATAATGACAACAAATGGTGGATGGACAGTAGGCAAAATAATGTGTCATCTTTAAAACAATGTAATCACAAATAATATTAGCCCTAATGACAATGACTGGTTGTTGGACAGGGGGAAAAAATGTGTGTCCCAATGTACTCATGAAGAATATTAGCCACAATGACAACGACAAAGATGGTGGATGCACAGAAGGCAAAATTAAGCGACAATAAATTATAATCATCATCACTAAAACAATCTCCATTCCCAGAACATTGAACATATATCTAGACGCAGGGACAGATATCCGTAAATTGTCAGTAGGTGGATGTGGCTACAACGTACCTTTGCAGTAAGTATATAAATCCATTGCACAACATAATCCAACAATAGCTTCTAATGGAATAATCTCATATAGTGGGACACGGAATAACTGCAAAAAATAACATCAATAAATGATTTGCAGTACTTGCTGTAGAACAGATGAATAATCAGAATATCAGTAAAATAGATTTCCACATTTACATGTCATTTAATAGGATACATTTATCAATTTTTATTACAAGATACTTGATATCTCAAGATAACTACATAAATATACATACCTCATTGTGGTAGAACTTTCTGGACGGGGTATGATGTGTTTCATGAGGCCTAAAATAATGGTGTCCAAATGCAAATCGATCACCCCTGTAAGAAACAAAAATTCAATAAATCACATCCAGCATGTAATAATAACTGTAATTTGTACAACTCAACTCAGTACATTGTAGAACCCTACCATATTAGGAATTTAGGCTTTATTTTAACATATGCAAACTTACTTTTCATTTTTCCATAGTTTTTCCACTCGGAAGACGTCTAGTTTGTCTCGGCTGATATGTGATGAGATTCGTGCAGATGCCCTCATCGGTGTACCGTCAGCATTGCGCCGCTGAGAATTATCGTGCATCAAGTATACGCAATCCCCTATGAAGAAAATCATTTTAAACTTGAAAATAAAGTGTCATACAAGTTCGTATCTTAGTGGATATATTGCTTATTCTAAATTGTCAGAAACAAGAATCACTGAACTAAATGATAAATTTAAGAGATCAATTCTGGGATGATGGAGGCATGAACGAGACGTTTATAAGGTTAGAATATGTATTTATACAGATGGGAAATCTACATATACCCGGTAAATACCTTGTTTCACTTTCAGATCGTCTCGTTGTAGACAAAGATAATATACACATCCTGGAGTGGCATAATGTGGCTGTGGTACCATAGCAATTTCCTGAAAAACAAATTGTATTTTGCATTTGTGATCATGATAAAATTCCACATGCAAATAAACATGTTCACATCTGAATGAATATTATTATATATTTTCAGCTAGAAATAATTTGTTAAGTAATTCAAGTAAGGCAAACGTTAATGATCCTAGTATAATGTTGCATTTATTTAAAGTACTGAGTTCTCACCTTGGGAACTTGTCTTGGCTCACATTGTTCACATAAGTAGTGTTCAACACTGCCAGAAACACCAACACAATCACAGTGCTGCCATACCTGCCAAAAATCAAAAAACATGATAACTAAATACACATTGCAAATATCCTCCACTGGTCATAAGACCTTAAAAAAAATCCCCAAACACATGGCTCTTAGGTTGATACTTGAATCAACAGGTGGTATGAATAATCATAGGAAGGAGAAGCATGGGATGTAGATAGCTAAGGGCAGTTGATCAGACGATGACAACCGCCGACTGCCAATCCCAAACTACGACAACTATGAGCGCAACACAAATATTTATTCCATACAACACATTGGCAGAATAGGTGATTTTCCATTCAA